AGGCGGCGGTGCGCTGTGGAACCGCTTGGATGCACTGCACCACCGCCAGGAGCACCACCACGGCGCCACTGGGGCCTACAAATCGGATGGTCATTGCCGCGCTAGCTGCTGCCTCCTCACTCTCGCTCGGTCACTAGGGTTCTAGTTCTAAATCTGCAAGTAAAGATACAAAATATTATGATGGTATTATAATAGATACTATTACTGTAGTTACTGTAGATTAATAACTGACCTATAAGCTGTGGCATTTGAATTTCTGTGTGGTATTCATAATAAGTGATGAAAATGTCTCAAAAGCCATTTTATTATATTATTATATGTTCTTGAAAATACTTATACAAAACATTTATAAGAAGGTAATAATTGAAGAATAATAATTGACCTATATGCTGTGATTTAATACTTAATACTTATAACATAAATGATCAAAACATGTATACGAAGATATTAATTGAAGATTAATAATTGACCTAAGAAATAAGCTATAGTACATATGGTCTTAAAGATGTCGTTATATTTCTTTTAGTTTCCATAATAAGGGATGTAAATGTATACATTTGATTGATTTCTCAGCAGTATACTTATAATTTATTCGGTCAAGTAATCCATGTGTTGATAAAGACAGTTTTTTCTTCAAAATAAATCATCTTCTTTGTTACCAGGTCGGTTTTATCAGGTTTTAAGCTTAATTTATTTTACTCAACCGTTTTTTAACAAGTTAATGCTAATAATTTAAGCAAAAAAACCTTATTGTCAATTAATCATTGTTCTTATATAAGAAAAATTTCCTGAGTACTATGATAATAATCATTAATTATCTTTTCTACTTTTGTTATATTTACTTATCATTTTCCAAAGATTATGAATATTATTACTTAATACAAAACCCATTATTGCTTTGTGAAAAACTCCTTTGAATGGACGAACTTTTTCCATCGATTAAAATAAATGGGAAAAGCTGTGTTAGAGAAAAACCAGTTAAACGGTGGAAAAAAAGGCATCAAAAAGGATTTCAATGCCCGACACGTTTCCGACAGGTGCGTAAAAAACTTTTAATTACATTTGCACTTTAAAGAGAGGTCCTTTTTCTGCACGTATGTGTGTGTGTGTGGGTGGAGCTTGTGCTGGTATTGGTGAGTGTGTATCAGGTGTCATCTTTTCGCGGCCACTTGATGGCGTGTGAAATTCCATATTTCCCCGCTTAATTATGCAAACGAGCAGCAGGTACCCCAAATTCCCCACTATATAGTATCCTGCCGAAGGTATTTTGAATAATCTGCCCATCTCACGGTGACTGACTAATGAAGCGAATCCCTCAGCCCCATGCATATAGAAAGGACAACCAGGACAACCATATAAAATAAATCAATAAAATTCCAATGTGCCTGCAAATATCCAGCATTGTTGGCAAATTATAGGGGGAACTTTTAGCATTCTTGGTCGCTGACAAAAGCCAGGCTGACAATTATGGGAAAGTTGAATTGCTGCTCGGATGCCAACTGCCATTGAAATGCTCATCCCGTCTTTCTCCACTTTCTCTACGCTTTTTCTCCACTTTTCTACGGGTTTTTTCTCGGTTTTATGGTGGCGCACATAAGTATGCTACGCATTTCTGAGAGCAGAATGTATGTGGGACTTGGAAGGAAAATATATGGTAATCACATAGAGCCTCCCACCACTCGGCACCATAGTTCTTCTCACTTATCTCGTACCTGTGTGGCCACGCTTGCTTTTCATTTTCATTTCTCCCCCCATTAAATGTCAAGGCAGCCGCAGCCGTCGCTTTTCATTCGCTTTTCTTTGGGTTTTTCCTGCGCTTTTCTATGGCCACTCCCGCTTCGGTTGGAGAACCCTATTTGCGTCTAGCCCCCAGCTGTTCTGTGGGTTCGGTTCTGGCCCCCTCATTGTATTACTGCTGCTTGACTGGCTTTTGTCTAAGGCAACCAGTCCCCCAGTTGTTGATGTTTTTGTGTCTGTGCCTCCGCTCTAATCCAGATTAAACGCAGCTGCATAGAGCAGATTTCATTTCCCTTCAATTGCAATGGGTTTTGCTTTCAAGACACTCGCCTGTTGCTCGGGGTGATGCAGCTGCAGACCCTCTGAACTTGCGGAGCACTTAAGTTGCTCAGAGGATTTCAGTTTAGCCACTCTGTATCACATCTTATGAAACGAAAAATTAGCACTTACTCGTCTAGGTCTAAGAATGCTTTAATAGTCCCCAACTTAACTCAAGTTAACTTAAAGTGGTTATCTTATAGAATTAAGTCAAATGACTTACATAACTTTAAGTATTATTTTCATAAAGTATTAACGAAAATTCCTATATAAATCTATGCTTTTCCAAACTTAATATTATTTTTTGTTGTTTTTGTTTTTTGTATTGTTTTGTATTTATAATAATATATAAAACTGTATAGGTAAATTATATTAGAACTATCTTCTAACAAAAAAGTTGTTTGCGGCCAGCAGGGCGTATGATTAATATAAATATGTGCTGTTAAACCCACAAATCTCTTTTGAATTGAATCAATTATTAAATATAAGATAATTACTTCTTCAAAAACAATATTAAAACTATAAAAATTTTAAGTGGCAAGCATTTAATGCTAACCATTTTCTCCAAAACCCACAAATAAATATAATATATGCTCTAAATAATAAATTTATCATTGTAAAATAATAATAATAAATAATAAGATTTAGATACATCTAAATGCTAATCTCTTTTATATACCTTCTGTTAGCTTATAGTTTTTACTATAAGATAGCATTAGATAATAATAATTAGATAGTAATAATTATTTAATAATAATTACCTAAAAAAACAAATATATTATTTCTAAGTATAAATAAGATTTAGCTGTGCAGTCAAATAGGTTATTCTGCAAAGTGCGCCATTTCAAAACTATATTCAGGACGCATGAATTATATAAAGCCCTTGCTTTTCAACCCGTACATTAAGTTCCAGGAAATAAAGACTTCAAGATATAAGGGCTAGCATGGGAACCAGCACAACCAGAGCAGCACGGGGCGTATGATTAATATTGATTGATGCCTGTGTCTTCTCGGGTTTCCCTACATCAAACGGAGTCAGTGCTAATAATTTATCGAGTTTCAGTGGAAGAGCATCTCCTCCCCGGCAATCTGATTTCCAGACCGAACAAATGCGACCCAGCAGGGCATTTAAATTAGCGCCCTAATTGAATTTGTCGCAGCAACCATGGATACTACCATTCTATATGTATATATACGTATTATATGCCAGATCCTTTCTGTGAAAATTGGGACAAATTGAATCGGGCTTTTGGCCGGCGGACTAAGTGAATGCATTCTGTCGGCAGAGGAAGAGTCTAATTAGGGGGCCCGGAAAAGCTTTCAGGCTTTAAATATTTAAAGCCAACGAAGGCGATGTCCTGTCCTCGGGGAGGCTAGCAACTTGTTAGCCAAGTTTTTTTGCCAGCATGTGTGTGTATGTATCATTTATTCAGGCCCAACTGCCTGAGGTATTTTGTCAACAGGCCAACAAACAATTCCACAGTTCCATTGTCCAATTAGCGAGTTCCAGGGAGTTGCAAATAATAAATTATACGCAATTGTTTTGCCTCTGGTTGTTGCTCCCACGCATAAAAAATATATATATATATATATACGCGTATGCACACGCCCACCAATGGAAATGGAAAATCCTCTGCAACATTTGCGTAATTTTCCTGCCCTCCGCACACACACAAAACACTGCCCGAAAAATTTGCACTTTTCTCAACTCACTTGGATTGCTTTTATTATATTGTTTGTTTTCGCGTCGTTCGAGTGCAGTTTTCCGTGCGAATTTTCAACTTTTTTGCCAGACACTTTTCACAACATGGCGTCACGCCTACGCCAGAACCACAAAGGAAGCGCTCGTCGCTGTTAGCCAGTAGCCACTGTACCTGTGTCACCTCTGTGCTCAGCCAAGGCGGAACCAAGAGTGTCGACCAGTCTCTGGAGCTTCCATGTTTTATACAGGACCCGCGAGGACCGACAGGACACGAAGCTCTTCGGGAGCCCCGTCCTCGTGTGTGGGAGTCGGAAATGGGGAAAAAGGGGGGAAAGCAGGAGGGAGGCACGGAGAGAAAGCTTTCAGCTGCAGCCAAGCTTTGTTGTAGGACACTGGAAAATATGATACCACATTTCATTTTAAACAATAATATACAAATCAAAACACATTCCATAAAAAAATGTATTTTAAAATATCAATGTATCAAAAAATATGGAAAAAACTAATGACATTATTTGAAATAGTTATGCTTACGTTATGATTTTTAAGGATAAGTCCGATAACGACCATTAGAATTTTTATAAATTGCGTAGAGGGTGGTCCTTGTATTAAGTATTCATTATTTTGTCGATTTTTTAACTCCCCCTCCCTCCATGTGCTCCATTTTTACTGACAAAAAGTAATTTTCACAGGATTAATTAATTAACTGAACCCTATTTACTCCAGTTTTCACACCATCAGATTCATCGGAAAGTATTTAACAGGAAGGAAGAGTTCCCGACTTTATAACGTAAATATATTCTTCATCAGGATCACTATACGGGTTGAACTTGCCAAGTCCATCTGTGTGTCCATATGACCGCTGAGATCTCGGAAACCATATAAGTTAGGAAGGATTCGGCATGCAGATTCTTGAGGTTCTTGCGCAAGGCATGGCGCTAAAACCTGTCTAGGCCCAACGTTTTGTAGATTTTGGCACAGTATAATGAGATTTTGTTTTGATCCATTATGATATATACTACATGCTAAATTCTTCAAATTGGACCAACCATTAAAAAGTTAAAAGCAAATAAAGGAATCAACGCTAGGTGGCGCAGTGGATTGGTGTGTAGTCTTAGGAACAGTAGCATTTCTGCTTGCATATCTTCATCTCCCTCGCACTCTGATAATCGAGGCCATCGATTATAGCCTTCTCCCTCGTTTTGAAATAATGATATACCTTTTATTTTGCTTTCAAAAACAAACTTAACTTAATACACCCAACACACATGTATTGTTCTAATCAGAAATGGGAAAAGCCACTCAATTCATTGTGGGCATTATCGGCGCCATGGGCGCCTTTTGCCTGGGCGCTGTGATCGGATGGTCGGGACCCGTGGAGACTGAAATCAAGTACTTTGGGGCCTACGAATTTTCCCCGGACACAACGGAATGGGGTCTGGTGGGATCCCTGATGACCCTGGGAGCCGCCTTCTCCTGCATTCCGGTGGGCGTGCTGATCGGAAAAATCGGTAGGAAGACGACTATGCTGAGCCTGCTGCCACCGTTCTTCATCGGCTGGCTACTGATCATCTTGGCGGTGCACATATCCATGCTGCTAATTGGACGCTTCGTGGTGGGATTCTGCGGCGGAGGCTTCTGTGTGGCGGGTCCCATGTACACCACCGAAATAGCCGAGATCCGGTATCGCGGCATCGCGGGCTGTTTCTTCCAGCTGTTGATCGTTAATGGCGTTCTGTATGCCTTCATCGTGGGGGCCTTTGCGAACACCCTTTACTTCAGCATTGCCTGTGCCATTTGGCCCATAATCTATTTCCTAATCTTTATGTGGATGCCGGAATCGCCGGTTTATCTGGCCCAAAAGGGCAAGACGGAGAAGGCGGAGAAGTCACTGCGATTCCTTCGGGGCAAGGATGCGGATGTGAGCGGCGAGCTGAAGGACATGTCCGCCGAGGGCCAAAAGGAGACGACCAGTACTGGAAAATTGCTCTGCCGAAAGGTCACGCTCAAGGGTCTCTTCCTCTCCATCTTTCTGATGATCTTCCAGCAGATGACCGGCATCAATGCGATCATTTTCTATAGTACATTTATTTTCCAGACAGCGGGATCCACACTGGAACCTCGATTTTCTACGATTATAGTGGGCGTGGTGATGGTGGTCTCCACCGTGATCTCGATCCTACTGATCGAAAGACTGGGTCGCAAGGTATTGCTGCTCATTTCAGCTGCCATGATGGGTGTTAGCACCCTTATAATGGCCCTTTACTTTGGCCTGCTGATGACGTCTGGAGTCGGCTGGTTGGCCCTAATGGCCGTCTGTTGTTTCATCATCGGCTTCTCGGTGGGATTCGGACCCATTCCCTGGGTGATGATGGCCGAGCTTTTCGCGGAGGATGTGAAAGCACTGGCAGGATCGATAGCCGGAACTACGAATTGGTTATGTGCTTTTATCGTTACCCTGCTGTTTCCGGTTTTGAACCTACATATCGGAGCTGCCGCCTGTTTCGGAATATTCTGTGGTTTTGCGGTGGCCGCCTTTTTGTTTGTACTCTTCCTGATTCCCGAGACGAGGGGCAAGACCCTCAATGAGATTCAGGCCAAGTTGGGCGAGAAGAAGGAGTCTTGAAACCCGGAAACTAACAACTTAAACCTTACTCAAAAAGTTTCAATAATTATATTTGTGATCAATACTCTTGCCAAAATTTACATCAAGTACGTGTAATATTCAAGATATTTATAGACTGCTATAGCAAATCATTTGTAAATTTTTTGGTCTCCAAAGAGACTTATAAACAAGAGCTATATTACATTATTAGTATTTACAGGACGAGGAGTAACGGTGTTTTTATACCCGTTACTCGTAGAGTAAAAGGGTATACTAGATTCGTCGGAAAGTATGTAACAGGCAGAAGGAAGCGTTTCCGACCCCATAAAGTATATATATTCTTGATCAGGATCACTAGCCGAGTCGATCTAGCCATGTCCGTCTGTCCGTCTGTCCGTCTGTCCGTCTGTCCGTATGAACGCTGAGATCTCGGAAACTATGAGAGTTACAATACTGGGATTAGGCACGCAGATTCCTGAGATTCCTGCGCAGCGCAAGTTTGTTTCAGTAGAGTGCCACGCCCACTCTAACGCCCACAAACCGCCCAAAACTGTGGCTCATACAGTTTTGATGCTAGATAGAAAATTTTAACTGAAATGTATTGTTCTCATCAATACCTATCGATTGACCCAAAAAAAAATTTGCCACGCCCACTTTAACGCCCACAAACCGCGAAAACCTGTGTCGCCCACAATTTTCATGCTAGATAAAAAATTTTAACTGAAATGTATTGTTCTCATCAATACCTATCGATTGGTCCAAAAAAAAGTTTTCCAGGCCCACTTTACCGCCCACAAACCGCGAAAACCTGTGACGCCCACAATTTTCATGCTAGATAAACAAATTTAACTGATATGTATTGGTCTTGTCAATACCTATCGATTGGTCCAAAAAAAAATTTGCCACGCCCACTCTAACGCCCATAACGCTTAAATCTGTATACCGCCGGTAGGTGGCGCATTTTAATCTCGCTTTGCTACTTGAATATCCCTATTTAGCTGAGTAACGGGTATCTGATAGTCGAGGTACTCGACTATAGCGTTCTTCCTTGTTTATTTTGATATTTTTAAATTCAAGCAAATCCCGTGAAAAAATCATTCAAATAAATAAATCTGGATTTATTTATACGTTGGGTAACTTTTTCTAAAGAATTTGCTGCTTTTATTGAAGACGGAACAATGGCGACCTCGAATTCTTCAGTGAAGAATGGCCAAACAATCCATCGATTTCAATTTATATATTTTAGATCCAAAATGTTGCTTAAAGTATTTCTTATTCCTATAACCTATATATGTAAACTTTCAAAATTGCTTATCACTTATTTTCACCAAGTTTATAGTGTACAAGCTGCGTAATAGAAAGAAAGAATAATAGTTCCAATCACAGCTTTGATCGAAACATTCTGTCAATTCAAGCTTTCTATCATAAAAATGTATCAACCCCTTAAGTTTCTTAATTCTTATGTGAAAAGACTGTATTTAACATCCAGTTTTCAGTGATACTTGAATGGTATGACATTTTGTTTAACAAATTATAATTTAAGCCTTAAGTAAATCATGGTTTTCGACAAACAGTTTATAACCAGTCTATAATTGCGGGAAACGAAGGTTAAAAAAATGATATCCCAATTAAGCTGACGTCTATTCACAATCAATTGAAATTATATGTACAATTAAGATTCGTAACACATCGTTCTAATATTAGAATATGACATTTAATGACAAAATTTAGTTGTCACCTGTTGACTGCCATGATGACTGTACATACGAGATGCTACCCACACATAATTTGTTGACTTACCATTCCGGACAACCCAGTCCTTGCAGATCGGCCAGCCAGGACGATACTTGCGACACGGACTAAAAGTCAACCCGCACTGCACCGAAACCAGAAAAGAACTGTAAATTATCTGGCTGTGCAACCAAAAATAAATGCACATCGATGCGGATGAAATGCGAGGGGTAAAAAGGGAATAGCCAGGTAAATAGGCGAAAGCTTCCCGGCCGACTCACTAGCATTTCCCCATCGATTTCGGGTCCGGGTTCGATTTCCCGGCCAGTGCGCATGGCCAGGAACATGTGACGACGGAGCTGCAGCTGGGGATTATGTACACACGTTCTGTGAGTTCTGGCCAGGCCGAGAGCACATACCGATTCCGGGAACGAACTGTTGCTCCCCATCACCAGGAGCCCAGTCATTTACCAGCCCTAACCCAGCCACCTGTTACTCCGCCCGCTCGCCAATCGGCCTGCATTCGCCATACAATTATTTCCGGCGCTGGCAATCGACATTTGCTCCTGGGGTGGACGTTACTGGAAAATAATCCCACTTGAATTGCATTTACTAACAAAATAACGACGCCTTGAGCACTCGAAAAATGTTTATGTACATGGAGTAGTCAGGAGAACCACTCCAAATCAGAAAGTATATGTTACTTTGATTTATTAGCTATTATAAGACATGGTGAGAAGATCCTACTTTTACAATAAAATGATACAAGTGGAATTTAAGTTCTGACATTTAATGCGATTTCCACATTTAAAACCCATCTTAATTTATAATAGACCCATTTTTAAGGATTTCACCTGAATTAAAAAAGGATTTATTTCTTTATTTCATATAATTGGGTCAAAATACTATTCTTATTAAATAAAATATTATATTCAAACCTATTTTTAAACCTACCTTATGTATAAGGAATTTATAAATACAAGTCTTACTTGCTGTGTCAATTATTCTAACACAATTAGACCACACAATATCTATTTCTACGATGGACGTTTCAGTAATTGATTATTAGAGCAATCAAGCTTATCACAACAACAGCATAATATTTTCATGTGCATGCTATGTGTATGCGTGATTTATGTATAAACTGATGACTGTACTTTTGGACCCTGGTAATCTCCGTCATTCGTTCCCCTCCTCGAAGGTCCAATTGTCGGAGTTCCGGGAACCGGGTGGGCTGGTTCTCCAGGTGCCCGAAAAGGAAAGGGGGAAATCCGGAGCGCGATGCTTTCCTGTGGTTACCATGACAATGATGCAGATGCTGCCCGGGACAGGAGCTCCCGCTCCGGATATTATCCAGCTGCACTGCAACTCCCCGGCCCTTTGACCAATCTCCAATTACAATTTTTAATAAAGAACACCACATGCTGGAATTTCATTTAGGACCATGCAAACAAGCAATGGAATCAAAACTATGCGGCTGAATGCAATATACTAAACAAATATCTAAACATAAATAAAAATATTTCAGATTGTAAATTCCCCAGTTTTCATCGTTTTTTAATATGAACCAAAGTTTTAGAGACATTTTCCTTAAGTTAAACTATATTTTTTATTCACTTTTTCATCGTACAGTTAAAGTCGAAGGAGTATATACAAAATAAATATGAAATATGATTCAGATTGAGATTAGGTTATGAGTGACTAAGACTAGGGACTACGAACTAATGGATCCACGCTGGCGATGAATCGCATTCACGAGCAGTCGCGGGGACTACTAAAGCTTAGGCTGGTACTATCTGTTCTGACCACGGATAATCTCACATTACATTACACCTTGAAGATGCCAAAGTAGCTTCGGTTATTCGACTCCCGCAGAACGGCATTGCGATCGTTGTGGATGTCCTTCAGATGGATCCGCTCGTTCCTTTCCAAGTGGATCAACCCGCTGGTGTGACAGGTGTGCACCTTGTTGGGCATATTCGTGGGCACTGTGTTCAGGCACTGCAGGAAGGGAGTGTCTCCTTGGAAGACGATGAACCCGTTCTGATCGTGCGAATTGTTGTAGCATATCTGGGCGTATACGTAATATAGGCCTGGATTCATCACCGTCAAGACGCCATCGCGCGTTTGAAAGTGTCCCTGATAAGAGTTATTCTCATTATCATTTCCGATATACATGTCTCCATGATAGCCTGAAGGATTTCAAAAGGGAAATTTATTAAACTAGAGAACTAAGCCTTGTCAGATAAAGAATCCTACCCGAACTTCCTTGGTGTCGTCTTCTGCTGCTCAGGTGGAAATGGGCGGCTGGCTTCGAGTCCTGGGATCTGGCTGAAATAAGAGATTCACCTGCAAAATTAACAGAGGTGCGAATAGAGATTTGGTTTTCGGTTTCTGCCAATTGTATTTCGGTTTTCTGGACTACACACCTTTACGGACCAACAGGCGACGATGGTGGGTATGCATTCTGCGACGATGATGAAGGGCAGTCGAGCTGTAGATGAAAGATTAGGTTTAATAGTTACTATGATAGTTATGTATTAACCTTAATTTACCCTAATGTTATTCGTAATTTGGTATATACTAGGATTTTTAATCATAACTTTAAGGCATTTTACCACCGAATATTTTATTTATTGTTCTTGCGAAGTGAAAAATATAACTAATTTGTTCAAGGGAACATATTGTACTATATTATTTTCTTAGATTTAACTTTTTTGGGAAATGCATTGCCTTTGTTTTGGAACGGAATATATGTATGTGCTTAAAATGTAGTAACTACACAGTGTTTCTTTTATTGAAAAGTTAAAAATTGTATTAATTTGCTTATATTCCTTCACTTTAACTTGTTTTATTAGAACATATTTTTTTATTGTCGCTTAATTTAAAAATAACTTTTTCTCACCTCTCCTTGGAAGTGGCTTCATTGGATGACTTTTCCTGCAGCTCCGTGTGATTTCCCTGAATACTCTGCTGCTCATTGCTAACATCGGCAATCGAGCGAGATTTTCTGTGGTGGGGGAAATCAAATATTATTTCAAAACTAATTAAAATCCCTGAAAAGGCCCGCCGTGCTCACCTCTCGATCTTCTTTTTGTGTGCATTATAGTTGGTAAAGTCATCGAAAACATTGTCATCATTGGAGGCGGAGGAGGAACTATCCGTTTCGCCCCCAGTCTCCGCTGTGGTCTTCGATGTGGGCGTGGTCTCAGTGTGTGTATAGTCGTAGTCGTCGTAATTTGGGACGCCATCATCTACAGAGCTATAGCTATCGTCGTCGTCCTCCTCCCCAACTGCCATGGGATCCAGACCATCATCATCATCATCCTCATCGTCCTCGTCGGCGGTGAGGCCATCCACCTTTTTCGGATAGTCGATGAGCGCATTCTCGTACTGCAAGGAAGAGATGGGGTCAGCATTTTGGGTCAAAACACTTGGCCAAGTACGTGACTGCAGC